GCAAACGGCCACACTCTTCAAATTCATGCTAACTAATATTTTTACATCCAGTAGATGTCCTACTAGAGCAAATGAAGCTTCAAGACGCTTTGCACTGGGGTGAACCAATTGGATGAAAAGCTTCAGTGCTTCATGAAGCTTCATCTGCCCATCACTACACAGAAGGATGAGAGCGCAATAGTAAAGTGGAGACTGCTCCACGACAGACACAACTGCATCATACTCGGCAGCATGCTAACGCTAAGCTAGCCAAGAACCCAGAGTGACGTTAAAGCTGACCCCAGACCAGCACCTGAACAGGTAAGTAAGTAAGTCAGTAAAGTTTATTTATTAAGCGCTTTTCATAGACAGGTAGTCACAAAGCGCTGTACACAAAGATTAAAATAAACAGTACGATAAATTGCAAAATGCACAATATACACCAACGCTTTTTACATTTTGAATTTACATTTAACCTCTTATTTAAATGTAAATTCAAAATGTAAAAAGCGTTGGTCAACCGAAGGCTTGTTTAAACAGTAAAGTTTTTAACTGCTTTTTAAAGGATTCCACAGAGTCAACCAAACGTAGTTGTGGAGGTAGACTGTTCCACAGCCTTGGTGCCACAGACTGAAAGGCTCCGCCCCCTTTCCTCTTCAGTCGTGTTCGGGGAGCAACCAACAAACTCTGTTTCTGAGCAGAGACAACGAGCAGCAGTGTATTTTGTGAGAAGCCTGGATAAATCATCTGGGGCCTGGCCATGTACTGCTCGGTACGTTAAAACAAACATAACAAAGTGATGAGCAGTCAGGCTGCAGCTTTCTGCCTGCTCATGTTTCTACAGTAGAATCGTGTGTGCGGCTATGGCCTCTGGGTTCATTATCAGACAGCAGTGTGTTTCAGATCATTTCACAACATCATAAGAGTAAAACGAAAGTAACGTAACGAGTAACGTAACAAATGTCTTTCTCCTGGGTGTAATTAAGTAAGGTACGTCATTACTTTTAAGAAAAGTGTTCTATGTGCAATAATTACTTTTTGGAGTAATGATCACAACAAAGAGGGGAAACGCTTCCAGCACCCACAAACATTTGACCGTCCAGGATGTAAAGTCTTTGATGCCTCAGAGATGGTCTCAAAGCGGAGCCAATGAGAATCGATAAGTGATATCAATTATGGAATTTCTAAATTCTTTTCAATTTCCCTCCCAGTGTTGAACACAGCTGCAGATGTTAATGCTGCTGCTTATTTCTGCTGGATTCTGTGCACGTTGCATCCAATGGCGTCTGTCTTCTCGGTCACATCACTTCCTTTATTGCTGACTCTGTTTCCTTTTCCTTTTATTTTTAGAGCACTTTCATAATCACTTTGCAAATGATGGGCTCCCCTCGGCCACCCACGGAGCCATCGCCAGCTCTAAGGCTTGGATCATTCTGTGTCTGCAGCACGCTGCTCTATATGTTCTAACGGTCTGGCGTTGGCATGAGCTCACCACCCTGGAGGAGGTGATCAGTGACTGCTCTTAATCATGGACTCCCACCCCCTCCATTACACCCTGGACAAAAGAGCAGTTTCAGCAACAGGTTCCTTCAGCCTGGCTGTCTGACGTTGTTACAGGAGGTCGTTCCTTCTGCTGCTGTCAGACTCTTTCATTAATCCACTGAGGTCAGATCCACACATGTGGAACAAGATTAATCACACCTCAGTGCACCCTGTCACTTTGTACACCACAACATATATTGGCACTTATACTTGTTCTTTTGTATGTATATTTATAGCTATATCTCTATAAGTATATATCATATCTCTGTTTCTACTCCCATTTTATACAAGTGCTTGATGTTTGTTGTATATTTGCTGCTATGACAGCACTATACTTCTATCTTTGAACAGATACGTAAAAGAAAATGGAAACTGGAAAAACGTCATGACGCATGCTCAATCATCCAGGTAAGTAAATCTCCAAAAGTTGATTCTGTTCATCTGGGCGTAGCGTTTTGTGGGAAAAATGTTTCATCACTCATTCAGGTGACTTCTTCAGTTTCAGCTGACTGCAGGTTTCAATCTTATAAACAGTACATTTGCATAATGACTGAAACCAGCCCACTGAAGGAACAATGGGCTGGGAGGTCAGTTCCTTAATCTTAATTATGCAAATTCTCCATCAGTAATGGGGGACATCTAAAAGCTGATGTGTACCGTAAACCTGACACAGCGGCCAGGGAGGCAGAAGAACATCAAGAAGGCCCTGAGTAAATGTGGTTATCCCAGCTGGACTTTTGTCAAAGCTGGGAAGGCTCCTAAAGAAAGCTCCAGCTGATCCAGGAGAGAAGGACAACCGCTGCCCACCTGTAGTGATCCCGTACGTGTCAGGAGTATCGGAGCAGCTGAGACGCATTTTTTCTAAACACCGGGTCTCTGTGGCTTTTAAACCCCAAAACACGCTGCGCCAAAAACTGGTCCACCCCAAGGATCGGGTCCCCGACATAAACAGAGTAACATAGTGTACGCTGTTAAGTGCAGGAGGAGTGCCAGGATTTATACATCGGGGAAACCAAACAACCTCTGGCTAAGAGGACGGCACAACACAGAAGAGCCACCTCGTCAGGCCAGGACTCTGCAGCCTATTTACACCTACAGGCCAGTGGACACTGTTTCAATGATGAGGATGTAACATCCTGGACAGGGAGGAACGCTGGTTTGAGGGCGGAGTCAAGAAGGCCATTTACGTGAAAAGGGAAAGACCATCTCTGAATGGAGGAGGGGCCTAAGGGTACATCTGTCACCATCTTACATGCTGTGATTGCAGCCATTCACCAACTCTCTGTGAATGGGACTCATGGACTTTGATCAGTGGTTGTTGATCCATGGTCATGAGACTTTACATATTGATGATTATAAACTGACCTCCCAGCCCATTGTTCCTTCAGTGGGCTGGTTTCAGTCATTATGCAAATGTCCTGTTTATAAGATTGAAACCTGCAGTCAGCTGAGACTGAAGACGTCACCTGATGATGATGAAACATTTCTCCCACAAAACGCTACGTCCAGATGAACAGAATCAACTTTTGGAGAAACTGGAAAAAGACACAAAACAGGATAATAAAGGATTTGTGTTTTTTCATTATTCACATGATTTCCTCCAGAAGTATTTATTCACTTTGTTTTAAAAACTCAGTGACAGCAGTCATGCACACAGCATATTTCTTTTACTATGTTTTACTACTTTTGCATCGATATGACACCGATCGTGAGTTTCAGAGTCCCCTTGTAACCATGGTTATTCTGTGATGGTACATTAGAGAGGAGAGCATCTGTCCTGCAGCCTGATCAGCTAGATCATTTAATGTTTACGTCACAGGTCTGTTTTGTTCCTTATTGTCTGCTACAGTACGATCTCACCTGCGACTCACCTGAGCCTTCTTCGTTTCCTTTTTAGAAACACTTCTTCATGGTTGAACTGTTTTGGCTAACTAATCAATACCACGTTAACTTTGGTCTGCTGGTTGGAAAACAAGCACATCATTTTAGAATGACTAAAGACAATACTCCAATAACTGACTGATTTTAATTGTAGGGATATCTCACTGGAACATGTGTGTATAGTTTGATAATAAATCGGTGCATTGATCATTTATTACTTTGACATCAATTCGTTGTTGGCCTTTTTTCACACTGGTGTGATGAAAAGTAGTTTGAATGTAAACACATGTTAAACATCTGGTTAAAAACACAAACCTACAACCTGCCCTGTGTGAAAACATTACCTGCAGTGTATCACATCTTTAGAAAGCCGAATAGCCACACCCAGGCGTGATTATTACCACACCTGTGCTCAATCAAAAAATCACTTACATAACAGCTGCCTGACAAAGTGCAATAGACCAAAAGATCCTCTGAAGTCAGACTTCCTGCTGTGATCCAAGAAAATTCAGGAACAAATGAGAAACAAAGTACCTGAGCCCTCTCAGTCTAGGAAAGGTTATAAAGCCATTTCTAAAGCTGTGGGACTCCAGCAACCCACAGTGGGAGCCATTATCCAGAAAGGTGGATGAACCAGCAGTGAACCTTTCCAGGAGCTGCCGGCCGACCAAACTTAACCCAAGAGTGCATCCACGAGGTCACAAAAGACCCCAGGACAACATCCAAAGACCTGCAGGCCTCACTTGCTTCCCTTAAGGTCAGTTTTCATGACTCCACCATAAGACAAAAAGAGCCTGGGCAAAAATGGCCAGCATGGCAGAGGTCCAAGATGAACACCAGTGCTGAGGAAAGGAACATAAAGGCTTTCAGTTTTCCTAGAAAACATCTTGATGATCCCCAGGGCGTTTGGGAAAATACTCTGTGGACTGGTCAGACAAAAGGTGAACTTTTTGCAAGGTGTGTGTCCCGTTACATCTGGTTTTCAGGAAAGGAACATCATACCAGCAGGAGAATATGGTGTTGGTAGTGTGACGGTCTGGGGCTGTTCTGCTTTATGTCTGGGCATCTGTTCAAGACCTCACAGTGAAGCGCACTTCTGCAGCAGGACAATGATCCAAAACACACCAGTGAGTCCAACTGTGAGTGGATGAAGGTTTTGGAGTGCCTTAGTTACAGTCCTGACCTGAATCCAATTGAGATGCTGTGGCATGAAAAGACGGTTCTGCTCAAAAATCCTCCAATTCTGCAAAAATGAGACAAAGTTTCTCATCAGCGCTGTCAAAGACTCATTGCCAGTTATCATAAATGCTTGATTGCCGTTGTTGCTGTTGAGGGTGGGCCAACCAGTTATTATGTTTAGGGGGCATCACTTTTTCACAAAGGACCATGTAGGTTTGGATTATTTACCCCTCAAACAAAAACACCTTCATTTAGAAACAGCATTTTGTTTACTTGTGTTGTCTTTGTCTAATATTTACATTTGTTTGATGATCTGAAACACTGAAGTGTGATAAACACACAAAGAATGAGGAAATCAGGAAGGAGGGGCACACTTTCACACCAATGAACTCACAATGTGTAAACAAATAAAGTTAATAACTTTATTTTAATAAATACTATTGTTCATATGTGAATATAAAATCTGTGACACTGTAACCAAAGCATTTTAACATGAACTTGGATTTATGAATGACAAACGGCTTTGATTTGTTGGTTGTTAATGTCTTTCTTCATCAAAGGTTCAATAAATACTTTATATTCTAACTTTCTTCATATAACTACAATCTTTTAACTTCAGCTTCCTTCCTTCTCTCACTCTTCTGTGTAGAGATCACAAGTTTAAGTATTCAGACATCACCAGCTTTTGCAGTGCGAGTGGAAATGGGAGAATCTGACACAGACGAGTTTTATTGGAAACAGCAGGCACAAACTGCTGCTGCACATCACAGCCCTGTGGACAGTCATTCAGCTCCACCGACACAAGTCTGCATCAAAAATGGTGACTGAACCATCATATGTTGTGTTCATCATATTGACGCAGACCGCGCGCACACTGATCATCGGTCGGCTTCATCACGTCCTCCTTGCAGCAGCTGATGGACCACGACAGCTTCAGCAGAGCCGCTGGTAGCTTGTTAGAACGATGAAGCATGACATGGACAGGACAGTCGTTTGCGTAAACGCTGGCAGGAGAGTATGAAGAACACGAACACTCACTGTGAATGACTGACTTTATTAAAGGACTGCAAACAAACGCGACACCGAGACGTTCAAACTGGATGTAAACAATGCTCCATTAGATCACCTGGATTAGGGCAGTCATCCCTCGAAGAAGAAACCGAGATGGTTTTCGCATAGATGGCGGTAATGCGCCCCGCCGCTTGTCGCTACCTACCACTAAAACCAAAGAAGAAGAGTTGTAGCGTTAGCTTCTCGGCTGTGGACGCAGTAATGCTTCCGAGTTGGTTTCAGTTGAGGAGCTACCATGGGCGCTCGGTGCGCAGCCTAACATGCTCATAACGCTGTGCTACGTCTACATGTGGGTGCGCTTTCATAGGTGCTACTCTGCGCTGATCCGGAGCGGTCTGAACAGCAGCAGCTTCAGCTTCAGCCTGTGCTCGCGCCGCGCCGCGCGCGCGCGTTCAGGCTCGCTTCAGCTCGAGGACAACGTGTTTCTTCAGCAGGGAGATAAGGCCGTGTATGTAAGCGAGCCTCAGGTTGGTCACCGGACACACGCTTACGTCATACCGTGGAGAGCGAGTACTTCCTGAACGCGTTACAATCTTACTAATCAGTTTGACAGCTGTGTGTGTGCTCGTGAGCGGTGGGCTCACGCGCAGGTCCCCACGGAGCCTGAGCTGAACAGCACGCTGAGCTGAACAGCACGCTGAGCACCTTTCTGAAGCTGTACCGCAGCTAAACGGATGGAAAGCTGCGAGTTAGGCTGGCGTTCACTCGGTGATACAGTGTGTGTGTGTGTGTGTGTGTGTGTGTGCGTGCGTGCGTGCGTGTGCGCGCGCGCGCGCGCAGCAGCAACACAAAATTCATTGTGCCACTGGTGTCTCACTGTACTGTCACTGTAGTTCCATTGTTGTCTCACTGGTGTCTCACCATAGTGTCCCACTGTAGTGTCACTGTAATTTCAAAGGTGTCTCACTGGTGTCTCACTGTAGTCTTATTGGTGTCCCACTGTGGTGTCCCACTGTAGTGTCTCACTGGTGTCCCACTGTAGTGTCCCACTGTGGTGTCCCACTGTGGTGTCCCACTGTGGTGTCCCACTGTGGTGTCCCACTGTAGTGTCCCACTGTGGTGTCCCACTGTAGTGTCCCACTGTGGTGTCCCACTGTAGTGTCCCACTGTAGTGTCCCACTGTGGTGTCCCACTGTAGTGTCCCACTGTGGTGTCCCACTGTGGTGTCTCACTGGTGTCCCACTGTAGTGTCTCACTGTAGTGTCTCACTGGTGTCTCACTGTAGTGTCTCACTGGTGTCCCACTGTAGTGTCTCACTGGTGTCCCACTGTAGTGTCTCACTGGTGTCCCACTGTAGTGTCTCACTGGTGTC